TTATCTCCCCCCCCCCACCCCAACTCCCTGAACCTACCAGAGATTTTTTCTGGTACCCTCATCGAGGCAGGGGTGGGGAAACCCTCCCCCTTTTTTTCAGAAATTAAAAAAAAGAAATAATTGATTCTCCCAAAATGCCTCAGGTGTATTTTTAGGCGTTTTTGGGAGACAAAAATACTGTAGGACCCCCCTAGAGTAGTGTTGTCTCGATCGCCTCCCCTCCCCCTTGTACATCTTTGGATCCGCCCCGGCAGGAAATCTAGTTGGCCCCTTGGTTCGGACTCCACTCTCGAACATGTTGGACACCATGTCCTGCCAGCAAGTTTTGGCTAATGATTTTTAACATAATAATAATAATAATAATAATAATAGTATATTATTATTATTATTATTATTACTATTATTATTACTATTATGTAAGAATAAACATATTGAAAAATTTATAAAAATATAGTTTTGTTTAAAAATTAAAGAAATTACAAACACTACAGTTTGATATTAGCAGTATTACTACTGATGATTACGATTCAGATAACGATGATGAAATAATGATGATGATAATTATAATAATAATAATAGTTATAATGTTAGCATGATGATCATGATGACAATAACTATAGCATAACCTTTGAGTACTTAAATAATCAATATCCTATACCTTGATTTAAGAGAGCATTAATATCCTATCATGAATGTCTTTCTATTGACTGTAGACTATTTAGAATTTCAGTGACTCAACATTCTCATTATGTTGTTATTCTTTGCTCCTAAGATCAATAATGTGGATTACTGCATCTGTGCCATGATGTACCTTGTTAGTACTTTGAAGGAAATCTTAATCACACCATCATATAATATAATTATTACTATTATTACTCAGAAATAATCAGTATAAATATAACTATTAAATATAGCCTATATCAGGTGTATGTGTATGTGTGTATTATATATTTACACACATGCTACATTATGTCACATCATGTTTGAATCATTTTCCTAGAAGTGATTTTAATTTTGTATATAGGGTATGACCTCATATTTTATTAAATGAGACATGTTGTCGGTGTAATGAGATATAGAGTGTCTTGTTACTGTCTCATTATGAAATATAGATGAATATATAAGGACTTAAAAAGAAAAAAGAAGAACCTAACACCTATCAATATTGTACGAATAAGGTAATGACCAAACTAATGGATAACATGGCTATATATATTTTTTAAATTTGAACCATTTTGAACCATTTTCAATAAGACTGGATGATCAGTTATTACACTTAATGATACTATACACTTTTAAAAATGACAGAAAACATTGTTCATTAAAATCCTACTGCCTGGGAGTGGCAAAAGCAGGATTCTGCTTTTGCCAGGACATTTAGTTCCCTAAAGCCCTGTCCAGACTATCAAATTTGATTTGACAAAAACATGTGACATGCTTAAATATGGTCATGATGACATCACACCATGACCATATATAGGCACATCATGGCTATATATGAGCATGATGACATCACATTATGCCCATATATAGGCACATCATGACTATATATGGGCATACAACAGTTTTTGTCAAAGAAAATTTGATAGTGTGGACAGAGCTTTAAATAATCCAATTTTATTTTTGACATTTACGTTACTGTTAAATATTCATTATTATATACAGACTACACAGATTCCAGGCATTTGATTGGCTAAGAGCCGGGCAATAGTTTCAGCCAAGCCTGGCTAACCCGGAAAAGATTTTTTGTTTTGCCCTCTCGCAATTCACTCGTACGTCACAATGTAGAATTATCATGAGATAAAGTGTTGTATAGGTGGCGATAGGGTACCGGTATAGGCCTATTATGTATGGTATTTAAGTCAGAATCTGTCTCTTATACACATCTAGATGTGTATAAGAGACAGATTGTATATTTTCGACTGTATAATCCACACATTTTTTCAGTCTGGGAATTGGACGTTCTATTAGCCATTAGATTACAGCTATGTCTTCGTAGCAAGGTGCGCCTTTAATATGAAAGGTCTCAGGTTCAATAATGCACGGGGATACCAGGGGCGGATTTGGGGGGGGGGCCCGGCCCGGCCCCGGCCCCCCTTTGGGAGGTAAAAAAAAGAAAAAAAAAAGAAAAAAAGAGAGAAAAAGAAAAAAAAGATAGCCCAGAATGCCTCAAATGTTATGTTCGGGCGTCTAGAACACAAAAATTTCGCGGGGGCATGCCCCAGACCCCCTACGACAGTGTTGTCTTAATCGGCCCAACTTTCGGCCTCCGCTTCCGGCCCCCCTTTTTGGACATTTCTGGATCCGCCCCTGATTATTATATACAGACTACACAGATTCCAGGCATTTGATTGGCTAAGAGCCGGGCAACAGTTTCAGCCAAGCCTGGCTAACCCGGAATAGATTTTTTGTTTTGCCCTCTCGCAATTCACTCGTACGTCACAATGTAGAAAATTAATGATAAGCCTTTTGTTGAAGGTGCGCTTCTAATTATTTAATCAAATTTGATGACCTGGAAGTGGCTGACAATTGCTCTGCTGCAGACTGCGTACAAGTAGGCTAGGAATAACAATGAAAGAGTGTTCTAGATTTAAACTGGTAAATAAACATGAGAAGAGTTAGTGAGTTCAGCAGCCAGTGATAATAAGAAAAGATAATAAGAAGTATTTGAAAAGTATCTTGAAGCCACATATTGAGATTTACCTAGTTATCAAATGCAGGCGTCGATGAAGTGCTAGCGAAGTGCTACTAACTAGGCCTAGCCTAGGCTTCTTCACAACTCAAGGACGGGGAATCTATGTAGTGGTATATAAAACAAATATTTACTGGGATTTTAATCAGGTCATAGTTCAAATTACAGCCCTTGGTTATCTGGAAGCTATACTACAGTATGTCCCTCGACTTTGTCTCGGGACATAGTACAGCCTTGAGATCACCTCGGCTATAATTTCACGCCCCTCATCCCAGTAAATATTTGTATACTATATTAATAAAGTCATCTAATTATAGCAAAGATGATTATAGATGTTATTAATTATTATTATACTATTATTTTTAACACTATTATTCATTAATAAATGATAATAGTAATGATTCTATTATTATCTTAATTGTTATTCTTATTATTATTATTATTATTATTATTATTATTATTATTATTATTATTATTATTATTATATTCTTAGATTTTTTAAGCATGGGCATCAATCAATGGGGACTGGGGAACATGTTCCTCCCCCCACTTTTTAAAGTAGGAGGAACATCATATTAATTGTCCCCTCTCTTTTCACCAATCTTCTATAGTTAAAATCCCACTTTTCAAAGTGAGTGGAAAGTATTCCACTCTCAATAGTGTAGTCGCAATACAACTTGCACAAAAGTGAATTCAAAAAGAGGAAAAAAAGGAAAAACCTCTTGATTGATTCTAAAAGTACAGTGTACATGCAAAAAGACTAAATTAGAGTGACTATTTCAAGTTATCTTATTTGTTTTTTTATGGTTTGAATACGTCACAAGCTAATCAGTAGATAATAAATCATTATTTTTATGAATGTTAGCTTGCATGAAATATGTAAGCGGGAATGATTATGAATACCAGGATAAATTGAAAAACTTTTTATGAGTATTTCAGTGCAGATTTAAGGGGGCCCAGTTGGCCTACCCTCCCTAATTTTTTCAAAGTGGAGAAAAAAGAAAATTATATTCAAAGTTAGGACTGAGAGGTGCCATAATCAAAAATTTTCTTACCTCAGCCCCAATCAAGATGGAGTTAACATGGACTACACTATCTGTAAAAGTCCCTCCCTTGGGCCCCCTCTATTTCAAATTCCTGAATCTACCACTGTATTTTGAAAATGTAGTGTGGAATAAATGTTAATTACATTCCTTAAAAATCAATTAGATACCATTTATACATTAAGGCTATACATGCCAGAGCTTTCAGGGGTTTCACCCCCTAAACCCCAACCGGGCAGGGCCGCCAAGAGCTGTAACGGGGCAAGGGTTGGTGCGGACCCCCAGCTATGAGCGCAAAGCGCAAGGAGGTTTGGGGGGGGGGCTTGTCAATCTGGAGGGCCCATTATTTGAGGACCCATGCCATTATTGAGGGCCCATAATAGTAATTGTTATTTTGGGGAAAAAAAATTGAAAAGAAAATGCTACCTGCAAATTTTTATGGGTCCCTGGTAAGCTTGGGCCCTGGGGATCTTACCCCCTGCCCCTCTCAGTGGCACTGCCACCGGGGATCCTAGGCAGTCCCCTAGCCCCAGCCAACACTTGGACTTAAGGCCCAAGACTTCTATATTTTGCAATTTGTACCCCCCCCCCCACTTTTAACCACATTTTCACACATGGTTTCTTGTTCTACCTAGATTTACCATGTCTTTCTTATACTACCATGTATTATTTATAAATTTTAATGAATTTGTATGTAAATACCATTAACTACAGAGTGAATCATATGTAAATAGATATTATAAGTAGATGTACAGCTCTGTAGAATAATGATTAATAGTAACAGGCAGGATGGTTATAGTCTATAAATTTATTGAGACAAGCTTTAATGCAGTGTACATCTTCAGGTAAAAGCTTTCGTGCACACACTGCACTTCTTCAGGTGAACGATCCAAGTGAAGAAGTGCACTATGTGCACACAGCTTGTGTCGTAATTTACACACTAAAGTAAATGCTGCCTGGTTCCATTAATCCTAATCCAATGAGGGTAGTGTATGAGCAATAGGGTTTGCGATATAAGTAATGGTTGGGGAATTACATGGTCTGTACGTGCTATAACTATTGGAAGATCTTTAATAAAAGCCAAACAAATATCTAAAATGTTCTGATACTATGGAACATAAATTTTCGGTAACCACCTTACGCGTCTCTATTCCACCATATTTTTTAGAGATTCAATTATTAAGGAGCTGAATTTATATATTTTTGACACAGTTTTTGATTCATACTTGATAATTTCATAAAATTAATAATTTATTTTCACAAACCTATTGCGGCCACTCTGCACATCAGCTTCCTTAAGAAAGAACTGCGTTCCAAGATCTTTCCATGCCGCTGCTTTGATATCATGAACTGTCAGAGACTTTAATAAAAGAAATTGAAAATAGACATATAAAAATATTAAGAAAAATATACAAAAACGATTTTATATTTACATATCCTTTAACATCATGTGAATGTTATATTTATAAACTAGTAAGCAGGAATGTTTATATTGTTAAACGTATAAAGAGATTTAAAAAAAAAAAAGAATATGATGAGAAAACAGGAAACTATAAAATATGAACATTAATGTGTTTTTGAGCCCCGGAAAAAAGAGTTTAGCAAAATAAATGTAGTCTTGGAATGCTTCCATCATTGCAAGGCCTGTGAAAATAAAGTACCAGAAAAAATGAGCATTATAAATTGAAGGGCCCTACAACAAAGGTATGCTTTGATTAATGAGAAAATTGAAACATATTATGCAGAACTATAAGACTACATCACTTTCAGCATATGAGATCAAATCTAATTATTATTATTATTAGTCCTTTTTATTAATGGTACTTTAGGTAAAATAATTCAATTTTTTTCTATGTATAATCACATTTAATTATTATGTATTTAAACATAGCATAAATTTATTTAAATATTGTAAAAAATCCAAAAATATTTCTTTTTGTTACTTATAATTGTTAGATTCATATTTATTTCATGGACCATTTGATAGAACATAATTTTTATGAAAATCTTATTCATGTAAAATATGTTTATAAATAAATAAAATAAGAGAGAGAATAAAATGCCAAAGACCAACCCCACAAGTGAGGAAAGAAAAGTCAAATAATTGAATGGGGAATTGATTGATTGCTTGACCGATTGATCAATGGAATGATTGATTGATGGAAAAATGATTACTTGACATATTGATTAATTCATTTTTATTAATTGATTAATTTAATTGTTTGGCTAATTGATCTAATACTTGGATAGGCAGAATGAATCGGTATACAGGAAATTTTTGGAATTGGCATGTTAAAACAGCCCGATCTCAACAGGAAAAATCTGGTCAAGAGGGTGAACAGGTCATAGGGAAGTGATGTCAGGAAAAATTATTATTAGATGGGAAAGATATCCAGAGGCATGCTGGCTTGGCCAGGGTCTACATATTGTTTGGATGGTGAAGGTAGAAAGGAAGTAGTTGCATGAATAGAACATGCGCAATGCATAGAATACTAAACTGGGTATTTCTGGAAAAGGCAAAGAATAGTACAACAACCTTCGGCTGCAGACGAGATGGTACTAACATGGAAAGAATAATACATATGGGTTCACAGAATGATCTATGCAATCATTTTCAATATCATTTCAATTATAATTCTCTATAAATATAAAAATGTTTATTTACAGTAAATTTAAGCATGGATGGATTCACAGCTGTGTTTATGAGTAAGGCAAGGACCAAGAGATTCAACGCAAAAACGCCAAATTCTTTTTCTAATTTCAAATCTTTAATGCCTTGATTATGATTACAAATATATAGTAGAACATCACAAATAAAGTCTTCCAGAACAAAGGAACAACCAAATTGTTTTTAGGAGCACACCTCTCCTTGCCTCAACTAGGGCCATTGGTAGCACCTAGACCTGAACTATAGTTTTCAAAATCAGATTGTAAATGCTCACATTGCTTAGGTATAAGTCAATAAAATATCCCTAATTTTAGTTTTATAGAAAATTGGAACAGCTCTTCAGAAACATACAAAACATCATAATTACTAGAATCCTAGATTTTCAGGGCTTAGCAATGAGACCATTTTAACAATGAGGCACTATTTGCTTTTATGCTATTTTACACCCTGTATTGAAAAAGTAAGGTATATAACTTTGGTAGAGCCTTATTTATACATATTTAATGTTTGTTTTAACAGTTTGAAGTGCATACACAGATTGCAAGTAAAATCATGTATGCACTGATCATTCTCAGTTTTGCAAACAATAATGCAGATAGCCATAGTAGGCCCATGTACAAGGAAACTAAAATGAGGATGAGAAAGTAGAAAAAGAATTAAAAAAAACCATAGTATAAATAATAAAGGAAACAGAAGGTGTGACTGGGAATGAACAAGGTAAATATTCCCAGGAAGTCTACTACTAAAGTATGATGGTTTCTTATAAAACTTAACAAGCTTACCTTTACACCAGCGAGGACTATGTTCTTGGCTGTAAAACAGAATTGCATTTTCACAAAGTTTGATTTACATCTAAAAATTTTTAATTTCACTGGCGTTCTATTTAATCACATTTTAACTAAAATTAATGACCGTGAACCCTAGCAAAATTTATAGAAGAAATAACTTCTAATAAAAAATCGAACACAACAATTCAGTTCTTTCTGAAATACTGTAACCAAATTAACTGCCAGTTAATTGAGGAAGCTAAAGACGCATTCAGACTGGACTTACAAAAAAAAAAAAAATTTACTGAGACGGTGGGTAAAATTCCCATGGGTTAATGTTTTGAGTCGGTTGTTTTACTGCAAGAAATGGTAAGACTAATGCGTATTCGCATAGGATTTTTGCAGCTTCATAAAACTAACCTGGTCAGTTTTACTGGGCACAATCCACTCGATAAACTAACCACTAGTCTTAGTAAGTTTTCGTGAGAGGTAAGTTTCCTGAGTTGTTTGCAGTGGACTATTTTAATAAAACTAACCAGCTTCTCAGTTATACCCCTTTTACACTGCAGGTAAAACTCCGGACATAACCCAGGATTTTCCAATACCCAAGCTAGAAACTCCCGAGTTGTGGCTTGTGTAAACGTCAAAAAGTAGAACTCGGATTGCCAAACATTCCAGGATCAATGTGCAGGACAAATTCAGCATTGGACAACCCAGATGCACACCGGAATCGTCAGTGTAAACAACACCAAATTCGATTACGGATTAATAAGCCTTACCTAGCATCTACCACGACTGTGGTCAGGTAGGCCTAAACTTGGCTGGCAACAAACCAGGCAAACACACTTTTTAAATTAAACCTCCTGTGCTTCCGTATAAACTTGACAACAAAATTCCTGATTTAATTTGGATAAAAAAAAAAATCTGCCAATATATTGCTTAAATATTGACAATAATTTGGTTCCATCACTACACAAGCAACTCGAGCGAAATGATGATCATCACTGCAACACAAATTGAAGGCGGTATTTGAAACTGCGTTCGTTGCCAGTGTAAAATGGGTGCAATATTCGGGATAACCCAGACTTTTTCGGTCAATGTAAATAGGAATTGCACCCGGGATCACTACGGATTGAACACGGATTTATTCTGATCTTGGCAGTGTAAAAGGGGTATTACTTAATGTCCAGTGCAATTGCGGCCTAAGCAAAGAATACATGGACCTGAAATTATTTTTGCATCTTTTATTTAATGAGGAAAGTATTTCTCATCATTTATTGTCAACTGAAAGCTAACAACTTATTTAATATACAAAGTAAGCACTTTGTAAAATTCCAATACCATATATATTCAATGTAATATCAAGTATAATGCATCTGTATTAATATAACCTCACCTATTTCTATGCCAAGACCACCTAAGCCACTCAAGAAAACATTGGAATGAGCCATTTTTTTCATGGCTTTATCTCCCAGCATATAACGCTGCCGACTGAGAACAAAAAATGAAAATTTATTTAATGGTGATCACGACAATAACATTAAACAAATATAATTATATAAAAAGAACATAAACATTCTAGAGAACTTAAAATTTCCAAAAACATACTTTAAAAATTAAAAAATTGATTGGCATGTGGTGAGTAAAGCTGTTTTAATGGCACTTCTCTCTAATGGGGTCAATATCCTGATTTAGCAACTACATTCCCGTTTTTGTTTCCTTCTAAAAAATCAGAAAAATCTCACTTTGTTCAGTCTGTTGATTTAGATAATATTGCTGTACTGTCAACAGGAAAGCCAACCTTTAGGTAAAAGCCTACTCCATTGTTATTCTGATGCAATCAGGATCTTCCTTCAAGACTATCCTAGCTGCATTTCTGGTCTGTGGCTTAGCTAGCAATTTTCAATGTGTGAGCCACACTATTTTTTTTATCTCAAAACTTAAGTGTTTATGGGATTGGGCTATTATATAATGTTACTATTTACAGTAATATTTTTTTTATATAATGAATAAGTAAATGGAGTAGCATACTTTGTGGCTGTTTGCAAACATTGTTATGTACAATTCCTTACACAATGTCCAACATGTGTAGACTTAAAACAATATAAAAAGGAGAAGATGTACATACCTGTACAGAGAGTCATCGATTTCATCAGCTGATGATGCCATTTTGATTTATTCTTCAACACAACCTGATAACAATGATTTATAATAAATTAATTGAAATATAAATTCATATAATTTAACAACAACAAAAAGTAACAAACAAGAAAGAAATGTATACCTAACATCTTTGGATTAAATTATGTGGTATAGTGAACTTTTTATTCAATAACAACTGGAGACCATTTTTTTAAATACATACTGTATTATATAACATTAGTTGTTACAGACTTAAAATATTTTAATACTAAAAACATTCTTTCCAAAAAAAATAGAGAACAAAGTGTGCTATAACTGAAACATCTTAGTGATGCATACTAAATATGATATTCTGTTATAATGACGTCACACAATGTCATGTGCCCTAACCTTCAACATTAAACAGTAAATCTTATATCAACAAAGTGACGTCATCATTTCAAGCCTCAGCCTTAATGATCTGTTTTACAAATAGATCGTAAATCTAATGCACTGCTTCTCTAAGTTTGCTTATGTGCTTAGTTTCTTTTAAATTTTCTTGCGTACTGCTCAGTTAATTTAGTCATATAATTGGTTGCTAGAGTGCGGAAGCCATCCCGGTTTCCGAGATCCCTTTGCGACTTGCAAGGGAGTTGGGACCCACGGAACAGTGATATTTATGTATACCGTAAACACCTTGAATAGAAGCTCCATGGAAAAGAAGCCCATCTCGAAAGGAAGTACTCCTATTCAGTCAGCAAAAGTAATCTTGAAAACAAGCCCATCTCAAAAAGAAGCCCATGGGCTTCTAATCAAGATAATGTGGGCTTCTTTGGAGTTAAGTACTTACATTCAGACTTATGTTACCTTTGATTATTATGATAGAGTGTCAGTATCAATATTATTTTATTGTACTAGCATAGTAAAACCAATAAAAATTCTGTATTCTGTATTCTGGTTAAAAAAAAAAAAAACAGACTTTCGAATTCCAAAGTAGCAATTCCAAAATTTAGTCTGCAAAAGCAATCTTGAAAAAAAACAAAGCCCATCTCAATTAGGATAGGAATAGATGCATGCCAACAGGAGCAAAACAATGCTAATACACTTTTGATGCAATTAATTATTTTTGATCGATTGAAGCAAACCTATGTGGGTGGTCAGCACAGAACACCACAACTGATTAATGTTGATAGCAATACTGAGCATGATAAATATTGTACATGTACTGTACTGAGTTTGCTTTATTATCAGTTCCATAAAAAAATATCTACAAATACGGTTCTTACAAAAAGCATTCCCCCTATTGGAAAATTAGCCACTTGTCAGACAAACTAGTGAGATTTATGTTAAATTCTGAAACACTGTAACGTTATTACACACACGTTTAAAAAATAAATTATTTCAGTAGTAGTGGGTGCACAACTGTATTATTAATGCCTACTTTTTTTTTTTTATTAATGCCTACCTAATTTGCAGGGGCGACTTCATCAGGGATTAGTTTGTAAGGGGAACTTTTGAGAGGGGTGCCTTTGTAAAAAATGACTTTGGTAGGGGATGACTTTGGTAGGGGATGCCTTGACTGGCTTCCAATCAAATGTATCTACTGATCACAAAAACTTAATATGTGCCAGTATTTGCAACTGAATAGTACGAATAAATTAGTTGTAAGGGGAAATTTTGCAAGTAGTGCCTTTGTAAAGGATGACTTTAGTAGGGGATGTCATGACTGGCTTCCATTCGAACGTATTTACTGACCATAAAGGTTTTAATATATGCCAGTATTTACAACTGAGTGGTACGAATAAATTAATTGTAAAGGGGAGATTTTGCAAGTGGTACCTTTGTAAAGGATGACTTTGGTAGAGGATGCCATGACTGGCTTCCATTCAAATGTATTTTTATGAAAAAACTTTTAATATGTCCCAGTATCTACAACTGAATGGTATAAATGAATTATAGCTAAAACAATATTATCTTATACATTTGTAGTAACAATAAGGAACTTTCGATTGCACGTCATCACATACTGTAGAGGGAAGTGTCAGTTTCTCATCTCAATTCTAGGAGAATGCAGTATGGCCTGAAAATACAGTATGTTGTGAAGAGAAAAGAGTCACAGATGAGTAGATCCATTCTAGACTCACATTGTCTCACAAATCAAGACTGACTTATTTTAAAATCAAGAATCTCATCTAAATCTACAAAATAATCACCTCTTTCAATCCCATCTAAGCAAAATCTATACTATACTATGGATCCAGAATAAACCAAACAGCAAAGTTTATATTAAGGGTCTTTGTTCTTTTTTTTTCTGTATGTGTGTAATATTTGAACCCTAATCTTAATCATTTTGGTAATCAAAGTCATACATTTTTAAATCAATTTTTCTATGCTCTGTTCCAGTGACTACAATTTCATTAACCATGAAAAGCAGTCAATCCGCACATTGTACTTCACAATGTTATAAAGGTACCAAACATGTAAATTTTTAAATATCAACACTGGTGATAGGTCATGGTGTGTCCCTCCTGCCCAGTAAACATCACTTCCCTGTAACCACTGAGAGGTCAGGGAGGGATTTGCACTAACAGAGGATCCACCACCTCAGCCCCATGAAATCTTTAGATGGCTAGAAATGGCACAGTCGGACTTTTTTCTCCATCATTTTATTCAGTTTTAAATATATAGGAGGGGTAGGGAGGCCAGGCCATGCCAGCTGTTCCCCCACCCCCTTGATTCTACAACTGCCACCATCACCTTAATGTTTGGGCTAAACCATCTTCTTGGGCTTAGTTTCATTAATCAGCAACAAAAAGCCTGCAGTACTTCCTGGTGGTAACAGTTTGCACAAAGTGGTTATTCTTCTGACATGCTGTAGTTCCAAATGGTAGCAAACACTAACATTTACAGTATGGCTGTCTGGCCTTACCGAGTGATGCCTTACTTTAGTGACAACAGGAAGTAAAGAGTTTAATACTCATAAGCACTCCCACCTCTCTTGACAGTTATGTAAATGTCATACTTATTTTTGAAAGTATCAAAAGATGTACTGTCTACAAATGTCATACTTACATTTGAAAGTATCAAAAAATGTACTGTCTACGACCCTGCTTCTCAAACTTCTTCAGGTGGCAACCCACTTTTAGACCCCATATTCTTTGCAAACCCAAGGAAACACAAGGCTATTTTTATAATGTTTGTGTTGAGTACTTAGGTTATTGAAGCTCAATAAAATCAAAATGCAATTGTTTCCTGACACATTGCCTTGGTTTTTTTTTGCAAAATCTAGAATAATTTGATAGCCATAGAATTTGCCTCTTATTTATCAGGAACAGATATTTGCAGTCTGTCATATTTCTTCGAACACAAAGTGGCTGTGATAAATCATTTTAATTTTTATTTACTCAGCACAGTGCAGCAGGCATTTGTTGGCGTCGATTGTGTGCGGAATGTTCCATTTCATAGTATGAAGAATATTTACTCGTTATTATGAAATGATTAATGTAAACAATAAATTAATGATGAATTTTCTACTTAATGCACAGTCGACTTGGGCTATCTTGACTGCACAAATATATAATGATTGAAAAATGTAGCTTGTACATGCCCAACCTTGGAAAAAAGGTTCAAACATAACTTAAAAAGAAAAGAATTAACTTATCATTTTAAACACGAAGAAACATTATTTATTAACAGGTACATGTTAATGTGAGATCCTGTTGTTTTTAATGATCTTATCAATCATCCAAAACAAAATGGGGAGACCAAGGCCAACCACAGTGAACTGTATCACTGTAGCAGTGCTGGTACAAAAAATACAAAAATTGAAAAATTACAAAAACAAAGAATCAAAATGACAGTTATATGTAAAATTATTTGACAAAATGTTTTGAAATGAGTTTTTCTAAAGTCTGTCTTATTTTGTCAGAAATGGTCTCACGACCCTCAGAAATGTGGAGACTCAAATTTGAGTCAAAAAAGGTCCTGAGAATCACATTTGCTTATAAATATAATTATATTATAATTAATAAATTCTGATTAACGTAAACATTTACTAGGCCTAAATCCTCACTCACACGCCCAGAAAATACCCAGGCCTAGGCCTATATGGGCCAAGTAGAGGGCAGGCCTAGCCTACGCTTAGCCTAGGCTCTTGATCGTTGAATTATTGAAACCACCACAACAGAGCCCTAAGCCCACCTCAGCTCAGCCTGATGATGATGATACTGAGATAGGCCTAGGCCTCTTTCTAGCCTAGGCTAGCTAGCATAAAAAAAAATCATAATTCTACAATTTTCCAGATTTTGCATTTTAATTAAATCAAAATAACTGATTACCTTTAATTCTTATTAACTGGGTAATTGACAAAATAAAATTATTAGCTCACGCAACCAACTATGCCGGTTGTAATGCTCAACGTAGCGAGAAAGATCGAAAGTTCATAAGGCCTAGCTAGCCCTACATAGATTTCTTCTTCGCCGGGAATTCCCTTTACTGATTAATTCTAATACATGGATTCTGATTGGCTGTTACACGCTAAAGCCTTTCTTTAGCTACATTCTAATCCAATCAAAAGAGCTTTTAAAGGCACAAAAAGTGCCCTGGATTTTAATTAGGAAAATCATTGAAAGAAACGTTTCTACACAAAGAATTGTAAGTTTTAATTAATAAGAGTTAAATTATTAAGGTAAACATATTTTTAATTATATTTTAATATTTTTATAGACTATATTTTATTATCACAAATTTATTTACCTTAATATAAAATGTATATTATTGTGAAGTGATAATGAACAGGAAGCGAATTGAGCAGACGACGAACTTGTGTGGACACTCCCACTTTGATTCATTGAAAGGCGTGTAACTTGCAGATACAGACAGTCGTGTTTATAGTCTACGTGTAGAAACATGGCTTGCTCCTCGCAGGACGCAAACATTGGAACCGTTTGTGGAGGATTTCCACCAGAATTCAAGTATTATGCTGTCATTGTACTCGGTCAACCTCTATCGGACGAATACATCGCTCCATCTATACAAGAAGTCGCAAAAGGTAAATTTTCATTAATTTTGTGCCTCAGCTCAACATAGTTCGTTCATGAAGTTATCAATTTACCATTTCAGATCGGTTGCCATGTTAAGTATGGTATTGGAATTTAGTCCATGCATACAGACTGTAAAATAAGTAATAATAATAATAATATTCTTATCTCAAATATTAAGCACACGGAATTTGCAGTATAAATTAGTAGACATAGAAACATTAATGCGGCTTAAGTCTTTATACTTAATATCATGGCATAACTCTTGAATGAAATCTGAGATGACCCATCCATTCAGACTGAGGCCTGTGCTCAGTCCAAGATTAAAATCGCGCTCAGACAAACCCTCTTAATTAATAAGGCCAAATTCTTACAACGTTATGAAATATTATAAGTTTGTAAATAAAAAATCTAATTCATGTCTGATTTTTAGAATACATCTGTTTTAATATTCCAATTTGCCTGTATCTCATCACATGGTGTTAATGAGATGAATTTTTAATAAGCTCCATACATGAGCATAATCAACATGCTTGTTTCTGGAGTTGGTCAGATCTTATGAACGTTCATTAAATATTATAAATCAAAAATGATCATTATTGCAAATAAAAATCAAATCTGATCGATACAAATTTTCCTAACCATGTAAACATTTAAATGTTAATTTATTTTAATGTTTAACCATATTCTGGGGGAAATCTTTTTAAATCAACGATAAAATTTACATAAGCAAGTTATGTTGGATAATAATATATAGAAATTTTATGTGTATTATTGGACACTATAAGTCTATTCTCCTTTGTTACAAAATTTTTTTTTTCTGGAAAATTGAAACCACACCCAAACAGATTAACATATGTATACGGGTCTTCAATTTATTTCTTATCCAATTAATTAATATTTTTATCCTATATGACTTGTAAATCAATCATATGCAAAATTATGTTGCATATTTGAAAAGTATGTAATTTCAGTTGTATATTGGTACAGTGAATTATTAATTTATGTAATTATAAATGATAGTTTTTTGCATTTTTAGAATGAGACAAAATATTAATAAATTATAAATTGGCTATGACATTTGAAATTTAAAAGAACATTTTTTAGGAAATTTTATTTTGAAATTTCTTTAGAGGTTGGTAGAGAAAAGGATTTTTTTTATTTAACAAAATCAATATTATCAGGTTTATCCGAATCCCATGCTGAATGGTTTGCGTTGCAATTTTTTATACACGCAATAGGATCTCAATCAAGGAATAAGAGCGCCCTCAATTTTTTTTACCTCACAGACAAATCTTTTTTAATAAGTTTATCAATAATTTATTTTTTCTATTTCTTTCAATTTTGATAAATGAGGTTTCAAGGCAAAAATGGGGCATTATTGAAATGCAAATTAAATTTTTTTTTCTTAAATTTCTGATTTTTATGAATGTGTGCACTTAAGGCAAAATAATATTTTTTAGTATTTTTTTGAAGGTAAAATAAATGTGACACCTAATACCATTTTATACCTCACTGCTAATACCAATGTTTATAAATTCATTATTCTGTTTTCATGAATTTTTCTCAAGAAAATGAACTGATGTATTTAAATGCTACATGATATGCAAATGAATGCAAATTTTATGAATATATAAAAGACTAATTCAGTGTGAAAATTCAAGGTAATGCTATAGTGTCTGATTGTATTGTTATGATTAACATTAAATGTAAAGGCCATCTCTCTGGTTTCTGTTGGGTCTTTGTATATGTTAAGTTAGCTGTAAAAAACACCACTTTACAGATTACACTGTAATACACTGATTAAACCACAAAATTCAGTTGTTAAGTAGATTGACAAATGAGTACGAGGTCTGCAATGGTGTCTGTGTTGGAACACCAACACCGGATATTGTGCTAGAGTACAAAGCATATTAAGAGGCAGGTGTGACCTCAAACACAAACAAACAAAAGAACTAACCATCCCTTTAATTCTTCCATAATATATATCTTTCAATATGAAATATAAAGTAGAATATTTATATGCAATCCCAACTGCTTATCATAATTAGTTTTCATAATTTCATTATTCTCGACAAACATGTTTTCTTATTATACTCTATAAAACTCATCAAGGACAAAAAGAACCACAAGTGACACAGATATAGTTGACTCCTACTTTGCATTTGATTTCAAAGAACATGATTAGATAAGTTCTACAAAACCAAATCATATCAAGGATTTTTATATCTTTTTCACCATGACGAAGATATATCCCTAATGAATATTAATTGCAGATCATTTGAACCAGCTGAGAATTTATAATGTTGCACAGTTTCAAGTGAATTTGCAATTTTTCTGTGATATTATTTGAAAAACACTTGAAAAATGTAATGCTTCACTGCAAATTGACGCAAAAAATTTACAAATCTTGTTTTCCCTAGCAATGAATTTGATTTCATGCATTCGAGAACAGACAAGTTTATTTTATCATCCGACTGCCATTTGCATTTAGATTGCTAAAGATTTTTGTAATACACATCAAAGTCCTTTACAATATTTGTCAAATGTTTAATTTCATGTTTCTGAATAATTCTACGTGAATGCCCTGTAAACTAGTGTTCTTTAAGTGCTTTCAAATTCGGATAACATTTTTTTTACATACTGTAGTCTGAAGTTAGTCAAGGTACACTGTCTTGAGCTACAGTAACAAACTTGTATAAATAGAATGCAATATTTGAATTGCTTTATATGAAAGCGTTTGGTGCTCCTAACCTTGAGGTCAGGGTTACAACCCCAAACTGTGCATTTCACTTGTGTCCTTGAGCAAGGCGCTTTATCTGCTTTGCTCCTCTTCCACCCAGGGGTATAAATGTTTATCTGTCTCTTATACACATCTAGATGTGTATAAGAGACAGTATATATATATAATTATTATTATTAAGTAAGTTATGAACTAAAGCTGCTTTCACTTCGCATCCTAACTAAATTTTGGACCACATTTCTGAATACCTAAATGCTAGCGTCCCTATTCTTACACACTGATTCAATTTTCTGATTTCTTTGGTAGACTTTTTGATCCGAAAATTTGGATTATTTATGAATGCACCTTTAATCAACTGAAGGTTAAACAACATGTTTTTCTCATCAATTATCTGTTCATTTTCTTTTCATATGGCCATTAAAGTTGGTTGTTGGTTATTCTAAATAAAAAGAAATCTGAAAACAGAACTTTTACAATTTATGTCTATCTGAGCCTTTCAATTAAACAATTCAATGTTGTAAGTAAATATTTAAAGGTTTGCCATATTCTATTACCGACAACATCTTTTTAATATAAAAAATCGCATTTTTGAAAATGCACCTTAACAAAATTCTTCTCATCTCATTTCCGTTGTCACCTTTCTCCAAATATTTTAGGTATTAGTACAGAGTTGTGTTCATTTAGCATCATTTAACATCTCACAGATGGTGTTTCCTTAGTTGCAAATGAATCAGAATTTATTCTAAAATGACGTATGAATTGAAAAGTGAGACTATAATGATGCCCAAGCTAAACTACAGTAGTGTTATTACCGATGAAAAAAATCACTGCTTTTTATGTAAACGATGAATCATTGAGGCAGCGTGTTCGAGACTCTTCCATGGCTCGGTGTTGCAGTTCTACAGTTGTTCTTGTTTGCCTTGAATAATTCTCCTGTTCTCTCTGTGGGCTTTTCTTATACTTTTAGAATAGCTGTAATATAGAAATGAAAATTAAACTGTTTTATTTAAAGTGAAATAAACATTGGGCTGGCTTTTAATTGTTTTGAAGAAGTCTTTCCATATTTTACATACTGATAACTCTGGATATTTATTTCTATGTAAAGCCCATTGAGGCTTTTAGCAAAATGCGCTCTATCAAGGTCAAACTATTATAATTAATATTATTATAGCTCATCTTTATGTGTGACCCATATCAAAATTCTATTTGATTTTTTTGTTTTACATCTGAGTTTGATTTCTGACTATACTGTAATTGCTAAGGATACTGTATATCCCACTATAAAGTGCTAAACCTACTGTTACTAGTATTGTAATTGGCTTCTATATGATACTCAAGAGGCCACTATAAATTTTTTTTCAAGGTTAAAATTTACAACTATAGTAAATGTATTTGAACATATTTCCTTTTAAACATACAGTAAGAATAATGAGAGAAATAAAGAGAGGAATACAGAAATAGACAAAGAGCAAAGAGGGATGGAGGCAGAGAGAAAGAAATTGATTTCACAGGGTGCCAATAAATACACGAGTAGATTTGTGCTAGTAGTCTACACTTGAATATTTTCCACAAATCTATGTACGTGTTTGAATTGAAGGCATTTTACTTATGCCATGACTAGCCAATGTCGTCGTTTAAGTTATCGGTTGCAGTTTCCCTGCCATTGATAGAATCCCTGCTGTTAGTTGAAAGCCTTGGGATCAGTTTACAATTGTAGGATTTGTCATGAAATTGCTTCATCTTCTATTAATAATTTGCTCCTGCTGCAACAAAGCTCAATATTTCTGATCATGATAAATTGTCAAATAATTTATAATAAAATCATATTAAAATCTCAATTTTGTTACCAATTCATTATAAAAAAATACTTATATCATCATTTTTTTCTGCTTCATTATCTCTTTTTCAGAAATTCAATTTACAATATTTCAATGCATACTTTAAGAAGTCTTTGTAGAAATCCCATCCCTCCCCCTCTCCCCTTTCCCTTAAGGTATTCCAAGGATAATATTTTATGAGCAAAGCAAGTCAGACTGGGGTTTTGTTCAGGGCAGCGGTAAAATCCTGGAAGGGGTTCAATCCTGGAAGGGGTTCATATAAAATGTAATGCTGTTCGAAAATCTAATGTTTCAGAGGATTACTATCAGTGACGTAGTAATAAATCTAGAAGGCTCTAAAATAGAGTAATTATTGCATCCAACACGTCAGCACGCCTGAAAAGGTCATCACTAAATAACATCATTGAATGTTTATATTGCAATATTTTTA